CCAGCCTGCCCCAAGAACACCCCAAAAGGCCCTGAGGGACCCCCAAGAGAACCTCAAAGGCCTCTAAGAAGCCCCGAGGAAGCCCCCAAGAGGCCCCAACACTTGGCCCAAGATGCCTCGAGGCGGCCGGATATGACCTGCAGACAGGTCAAGATGCCACCAAAAGGCCACAAAAGAGCACCGAGAGGTACGATAATAGCAACGTAGCAACAGGAACGATGTCGAGCGCCGTGTCATGTTTCGGACAAGCCTCGTAAAATGCAGTCCTGGAGGCGCAATAGTTTATATAGGGGTCGTCGGATGTGGCGTAAGCCTATATAATCTACCCTGTGCTACCTGTCGTGCGATAGTTAATACATATATATATATATATATATATATATATATATATATATATAGCGAGCGACTAACAACTCCCCTTCCAGAGGTGGGAGTCCCAAGTGATCCTTGCTCAGCCCCGGTTCACGGTGAGCGTCACTTCGGATGTTTACAAACAGGCACCCCAGGTCCGAGCCAGGGACAGGAAAATAACATAATAAAAAACGCGGCTTCGCCACTGATGTTTTCCGTTCGTGGAAAGAGGAAAAGTTGGAGGGGAACGACGACGACGGCGAGGAGAATGAGGGTGAGGAAAAAGAGGAAGAGGAATTGAAGGGGGAAGTCACGAGCGGCGAACATATTCGTATCCGCGCCCTCGCGGTCTGGATTCCGCGGCGCGACACCGCGGATACCCGGTCGCAACACGTCTATGGGTCAACCGCTGACGGCGCGAGTGACGTCACCACATCTCGGGCTCCGCTTCTGCAATAAGTCACCTGCGACCGTCTGTCGTCGCTCTGATTACATTGACTCCTTCTCGTATTCCAGCTCGTCCTCCGTCTCCTCCCCATCTCCCTCCCACTCCTCATCCTCCTCCTTCTAACCTTGTTTCACTGAAGTGTCGATCAGGTGGGACGAGCGCGTCGTCTGGTGTTGCTTCAACACGTATGATCCTTAAGCCGGAAATTCGCAGCAGGTCCAAGGATGCAACACATGTGTTTTTCGAAATGCGGCCCGTGCCTTGACGGCGAGCACATTCGTGTTCAAAGTTTGAAAGAGCTCAAAGGATAGACACAGGTGGATTCAACATGCGGCTATCGTATTCGCGCCGCGCACGCGTTGGTCTTAGCAGCTTGCAACAACTCCAGTACAATAGGCCATTTCTTTTCGGAATGCGGTTACCGTTTCAGCGCCCTGCACTTTCGTATCATAATCTTGCAACAGCTGAAGCGATTACGCACAGGTTGTTCCCAACCATCCTGTGGGGCTGGGTCATCGTCTTGAAGAAAGAGACACCGCCCCGCGTCTCCTCGCCACGCCTCTCCTCTCCGCATTCATCCTCCTCCTCCTCCTTCCCCTCATCCGTCCTCCTCCCCCTCCTTCCTCCTTCCTCCCCCTCCTTCCTCCTCCTCCTCCTCCTCCTCCTCCTCCTCCTCTTTCTCATCCTCTTCCTCCTCCTCCTCCTCCTCCTCCTCCTCCTCCTCCTCCTCCTCCTCCTCCTCTCCTCTCCTCCTCCCTGGGCCGCCGGCACTGCCCGTGCGCGCACCCGCCGCCCGCTCCGACGCCGCACAGCAGCGCCTCGAACCGGTAGCCCGCCTCTACCTCCTCCTCTCACCACGAGCGCCGCGTCGGCCCGGCTCCCTCCTCCTGCTCCCTCTCCTCCTCCTCCGCCTCATCCTCCTCCTCTCCATCCTCATCCTCCTCTCCTCCTCCTCCTCCTCCTCCCTCCTCCTCTCTTCTGCCCCTCCTGCCCCTCACGACGTAGCCACCCCCCTCCTCCTCCCCTCTCCTCCCTCCTCCTCTTCTCCTCCCTCCTGCCACATTGCCTGCGCCCCTCGCATGCCCCTGTTTCGGCATACCCCTCACACGCTCCCTGGCCCCATGGGGAGCTCCGCCGAAGGCCCAAAAGGCAACGCCCGCACAGCACCACCGCACCCGTTTCGACACACCCTTTTGCACGTTTGGTGGCCCCGTAGGGAGCTCCGCCAAAGGCCCCAGTGGCAGCGCCCGCATGGCACCACCACGCCCGTTTCGGCACACCCCTCGCACGTTTCGTGGCCCCATCGGGTGCTGCACCGAAGGCCCTAATGGCAGCGCCCGCACGGCACCACCGCACCCATTTCGAAACATCCCTTACACGCTTCGTGGCCCCGTAGGGAGCTCCACCAAAGGCCCTGGTGGCAGCGCCCGCATGGCACCACCACGCCCGTTTCGGCACACCCCTCGCACGCTTCGTGGCCCCATCGTGAGCTCAAAACCGAATGCCCCAGTTGCAGCGCCCGCACGGCACCACCGCGCCCGTCTCGGCAGACCCCTCATGACGTGTCGTGACCCCACGGTGACCTCCACCAAAGTCTCCAGCGGCTGGCACCACCGCACCCGCTCGTACGCTTCGTGACCCCCTTAGGGAGCCCCACCCTCTGGTGGCAACGCCCGCATGGCACCACCGAGCCCGTTCCGGCACACTCCTCACACTCTTCGTGGCCCCACCGGGAGCTCAACCGAAAGCCCTGGTGGTAACGCCCGCATGGCACCAAAGCACCCGTTCCGACACAGCCTTTACACGTCCCCATCGAAAGCGGACGGTACCCACAACGCGCTTCTCACAACTGCATACGGTTGGGTTTTTCGCCAGGACAATTTTCTAAATGAGGCTCTCGCCTCAGACCCGCGCACGATTGCTTTACGGATAAATGGCGGTCCTTTGAATTGTACGATCATACTTTGTGCACTCCTGGCTACGCGCCAGACGGATGCAAGGCACTTTCATGTTCAAAGCGGGGCCCCCGCCAAAGTGGCAGGCCCAACTGTGCTAGTCTGTCGGGGTGGGTGCTTCTTGAAGTGCTTGTGGGGACGTGCGCGGACGGGGCTTCGGACGCAAGGGTGTATTGCAGCATCGATGGTGCATCTTGGGAACTGATGGTCCTGCAGCGATCCCCTGAGGGCTTCCACAACGGCTGGGGAAACACATAGTTCACCAGCTTGGCCCCACATAGGCGCTTCCAAGAGGCAGGGGGGTGCGGGGACTCGCCGCAGGCGCAATCAATAACATCACCCTATCTGATGGATGGTGACGAGGCGCGCAAACAAGACAAAAGGACGAGGAGGGAGAGAAATGCAGCGAAGAACGCTCCGAGCAATGAAGCTCTAAAAACGCTGGCAGAGCGGCAAACCATGTCTGCCGGCGTTCCGACCACAGGAATGCTGCATCCGCTGATCAAGGCCAGTGCAATGCGGACTCGCCACTGGTCGTCCGCTAAACAGCTGGATAACGACAGATAAAGATGCGGTATCCCCGGAAGCAAACGACAGATATAACACAGCCTGAATCATGTGGACACGAATCAACCGGATGTGTTGCCACAGCGTCAGCCTGAGATGCCGTAGGGGGGGCGGGCTCTAGAAAGCCATTCTGAGGCGAGGAACCACATGCGCAATAGATAAATGACTGCTACGCTGCCTCTAACGATACTTAGGCGGAACCAAACACACGCACCCGCCTGGATGCCCATCCTCCCCCCCGCGCCCCCCCCCCAAACACACACACACACACACACACACACGCGCGAATCGTATGGCTATAAGCCCATGGCCTCAGATTACGCTTAGATCATTGCATTTGCATGGTGTGAGGTTCGAGGTGGGGTCCAAATTTAGGAGCTTTGCAAACAAGCAGTCAACAATGCGTTAAAAAGGGCCGACACTGGAAACGTTGAGCAAGTTTGGAACACAACGCTTCCTCCTCTGAGACAGCGCTTATTCGAGACACTGAACCATCCACCATCTCGCTTGCCGTGGGGGGGAACCCAGATGCAATGATTGGTTTAACTCTGTGGCTGTTGGCAGAAGATGACTACCTACCAAACCACCCCAACCCAACCCGAAGACCCGAATTTCGGGTTGGGGGGGGTAACGGGCTTCACGTGTGTTTTCTCGACGTTCCCCGACCCCCCCCAACTGGAAATAGAGGGCAAATTGGGGCCTTCGGGTTGGGTTGGGGTGGTTTGGTGGGTGGTGAGAAGAGTGCTAAGCAGGGTTTGCCACTGAGTATTGTATGGGCAAGCTCTTCTGCTTGAACACTTCGAAGCTCAACGATCACTCCGCCACAGGTGCTCCGGCTCGTGGCACCCTCGACAACTCTGCGACCACAATGCCACCAATGAAGGGACCCTGGGACACACAAATAAATACACACAAATAAAAAGCTTCCCCATATTTTCCTATATTTTCTGGGTTTTTGACTTAGCCCCCAATTCCCATATTCCCCATATTTTCTGGGGGATCGACGATTAATTGTGTCTGTGTGTTTTTTCCCCTCCTGAACCAACGCAACCGAGGCGACGGACAAGCCGGTAGCGCATCTGCACAAAATGCACATCGTGGCAAACATAATTCAAACAATAACGTGGGGCCGTACGCGGCTTCAAACACTGCGTCTCGTCAGCGCAGCAGCACGCTGCGGCGCAGGAGCGCGAGATTGGAGATGCCCAGCCAGGGCGCAGCTCCCAGGGCGCAGCTCCGAGGCCCGCGCTCAAGTCAACATCCGACACCAGAGAGCATCGAACACGCAGTGAGTCCTCCTCTGAAGCCTGCTCCTTGGACAAAGCCGTATCTGGCCTGCCCTGAGTGCCTACACTTAGGTCGGGTCTGTCCCACTACAGGCGGATTTGGGGGGAAAATTAGAAATACCCTAAAAATACCCTAAACATGCCCCCCCCCAAAAAAAAACCTCCCCCATGTTTTGGCAATTGTTTGTAGATTCCTCCTGTAGAGAGACAAGCCCGACTCAAGCCTAACTTCTCACCCCGCGCTGCGCGAAGCACGAACAAACCTTCGCGCTCCCGCGCCGCCCCCCCCTTAGGGGAGAAGCGGAGGACGAGGAGGCAGCGAAGCCAGACCGCGAAGCGCGACGCGCGGAGCACCTCCGCCCCCTCGAGGGCGCCCCTGTGGATCGCGCGCCCTCGAGAAAGCAGCAGCGTGATCTCCTCGCGCTCCCCGGTCCGAACCGCGACTGGCCATGGCCACGGGGGCCCCCTACTGTGAGCAACACCGTTATGTCGGGCGTGTCCCCCTACAGGGGGATTCTCGGCGAAAGATAAAATACCCCAAACATGCCCGAAAAAGGTCAACGAAAATACTCCCCAGACTATTTTTGGAAAATTATTTTGCTATGTCTGGGGTATTTTGAATTTTTTGTCGAACAATCCCCCTGTAAGGGGACAGGCCCGACTTAACAGCGCCGCGAAGTGCACCCGCACAGAAGCAGAGCCCGCCGGCCGCAACTTCGGCTCGTGGCGCCCCTGGAGTCTCTCGCGCGGGGCGGAGTCGCCGCGGGGCCTCCCCGAACCCCTTCCACGCCCTCCATCCTCCTCCTCCTCCTCCTCCTCCTCCTCCTCCTCCTCCTCCTCCTCCTCCTCCTCCTCCTCCTCCTCCTCCTCCTCCACTCCTTCTCCTTATAAAGATCTCCTCCCTGTCGCACCCCGAAGTCAGATTTTAGGGCGGGCCGAGCGGTTCGCCCGAGACTTCCTCACCATTTTTGATTCTGAAGCTTGAAAGGTGACAGCAGTGCTTTCAAAAAGTGGCTCTCGCCTTAGCGCCGCGCACATTCCCTTTAAACATTTGAAAGAGCTTCACGGATTGAGGGCGGGTGGTTTTCAAAATGTGGTTCTCGCCTGAGCGCCGCGCATATTCGCATTGAAACTTTGAGAGAGCTTCACGGATTGAGGGCGGGTGATTTTCAAAATGTGGCCCTCGCCTTAGCGCCGCGCACATTCGTTTTCAATATTTGCAAGAGCTTCACAGAATGAGGGCGGGTGGCTTCCAAAATGTGGCTCTCGCCTTAGCGCCGCGCACATTCGGTTAGACAAATTGCAAGTGCTTCACGGCTCGAGGGCGATGAAGTCCGCCGACCCCTTGTGGGTCTCTAGGCGTGTGAGATAGTTCCCCTCCCCTATAGTCCCCCCCCAGGGACCCCAAACCGGAGATTTGACCCCCCCCTGATGGCCCCCCCCCCCGGCCCGGCACGAGCGACTCACGGGGCTCTTTTGGGCCCAAAAGGGGCTCCAGACGAGCCAAGAAGGCCCCAAGAGGCCTCCAAACGGCCCACGATGGCCCCAAGACGCCAAACGAGCGCTCCAAGACGCCCACGATGGTCCCAAGACGAGCCAAGAGGCCTCCAAGACGGCCCAAGAGGTCCCCACGAGGCCCCAAGAGGCCCCCAAGATGCGTCCCAAGAGGGTCCCTAGACGCAGAAGTTTGCCCATTCCCTCCGTTAAACGTACATTTTTCACAAGTTCGCCTTCTGGGTTTTCCGATGTTCCCACACGGCCCAAGAGGCCCCCAAGGCCGCCCCAAGACGGCCCAAGAAGCCTCCAAGAAGGCCCCAAAATAGCCCAAAAGGGCCCCAAGACGGGCCAACAGGCGTCCAAGACGGCCCAAGAGGGCCCCGAAAACGGCCCCAAGAGCGCTCCAGGAGCGCTCCGAGTGGCCTCCAAGAGAACTCAAAATTGTCCCAGACGGTCCAAGAGCGATCAAAGACACCGAAGACGGCCTCCAGACGGCCCAACATGCCCCCAAGAGGCCCCAAGAGGCATCCAAGATGCGCCCCAAGAGGGCCTCTAGACGCAAAAAGTTGGCCCGTTCCTTCGTAAAACGTACATGTTTCTCAAATTCGCCTTTTGGGCTTTCCGACGCTCCCGGACGGCCCAAGAGGCCCCCAAGACCGCACCGAGACGGCCCAAGAAGCCTCCAAGCGGGCCCCAAGACAGCCCAAGAGGGCGCCAAGACGGCTCAAGAGGAGCCGAAGACGGCCCAAGAGAGCCCCGAAGACGGCCCCAAGAGCGCTCCAGGAACGCTCCAAGTTGCTTCCCAGAGAGCTCAACATGGTCCCACACGGTCCAAGAACGATCGAAGACACCCGAGATGGCCTCCAGCTGGCCCAAGACGCCCCCAAGGGGCCTCCCAGATGCGTCCCAAGAGGGTCCCTAGACTCAAAAAAAATGCTCTTTTCCCTCGTAAAACGTATAGTTTTCACAAATTCGCCTCGTGGGTTTTCCGACGCTCCAAGGCGGCCCAAGAGGCCCCGAAGACCGCCCCAAGACGGCCCAATAGGCCCCCAAGACGGCCCCACGACGGCCCAAGATGGCCCCAAGACGGCCCAAGAGGTCCCCAAGACGGCCCAAGAAAGCTCCAAGACGGCACCAAGAGGGGCCCAAGAGGGCAACCAAAAATTCAAAAATCTAGCTTTCCGCCCCCGCGAGCCCCAGGGGGCCCCAAGAGCGCCCCAAGAGGCCCACAGGAGGCCTCCAAAAGACCCCCAGACGCTTCGAGCCGTCAAGCCAATTGCAATGCACTCCGCGCATGCAGCCTTGCTCTTCCTCGCGACGTGCTCACAATCTTGCTCGGCGCTAACGTGCTGCTGCTACGCGAACTGTTTCGTGCGCGCTGCGAACGTCAACAGCC